GGGGGGGGGGAGTAAGGCAGTACGTTGTAATTCCAACTACCAGCCACAAAGAGAACTGGCTAATTAAAAGGGGTTCTCCAGGTACTTTGGTTGGAGAAATAAGAAGAAGAGTATGATTACGTTGAAACATGGGCCTTGCACAATATGTACTTATAGATCTCCCAGTCAAATGGGATAAAGCAAAAGAGAGATTAATTTGATACGTACAGTATAACTCGGACAGACCTCTGAATCTTATGTCAGTCTCCTATAAAACCTAAGTAAGTGATTTGGTAGTCTTGACAACTCTGTAAATATTGTATGTTCATGTACACTTCGTTGGGGATTCGAACCGAAATCATCCGCTCGAAAGTCTAACAAAATACAAACTGAGCAAACGGGGCCTCCCGTTTCTTTCATTTATTTAAAAAAAAAAAAAAAAAAAAAACATGAGCAATAAAAGAAGAAATCATCAAGACAAGCGTTCACATGTATGTAATTTTTCTTTTTTAAAATTCTATCAGCCTACTGTCGCAGAGTTTGATCTGAGGTACTTGCGTTATCAGAAGCTGATAGACGCCTGCAGGAAAGCTGATGGCTCATCGTAAGTTGTGAAAACGCAGACAGACAGACAGACAGACAGACAAACAGGCTGACAAACAGACAGACAGACAGACAGCAAACAAAAAAAAGAGTATAGGCAATGAGGCAAATAGACAGACAGATTAGTAAACACACACACAAAAAGAAAATACATTTATACAAGTCTGAAAAATGTGATTATAGAATTTTACACCCTCATTGAAACAAATTAGGTCACACAGAAGGCAGGCTTCGACCCTGCCTGTCAAGGCTAACCTGGGCTGAGATATGTAGTCCCAGCAGACAGTAAGATACACTAAGTTAAGGTTTTCCTCATTTGGGAATCGAATTCACGTCTTTGCTTGTGACGGCGGAGCGCCTAACCTCTACACCAAAGAAGCTGAAAAAAACCCAAAGTTAAAAAAGGGGAGTGAATCTGATATAAAATGGGATGAACAAACGAACTGATAAACGAACTGAAGAGTGGATTTTTTTAAAAACATACATTTTGAAGTAAGTAAAGTTTAGAAGTGGAGACTGATAAAATACAGATTTAAGTAAAACAAGAAATGTATAGAAAACCCGGCGGATGAATGAACGAACAGAAGGACAGATAGAGAGAGGCAGAGAGATTGAATGAGAAGGTGAATTTGGTTTACATTAATAATTAAGGGTGACCGCAATGAGTCTCTGTTGCGATTGCAGTTGCAATTAGCGGGTGGTTGAAGGGCGCCACTGGTAGGTCCTACCTCGTTACTTTCCCTCTGTTGCCTCGGTCTTACTTCTTTCATGTACTGAATGATCATCATGTTGTCGATGTGCTTCTTTTTACTCAAACAAACAAACAAACAAACGAACGAACAAACAAACAAACAAACAAACGAACGAACGAACGAACGAACGAACGAACGAACGAACGAACGAACGAACGAACGAAACAGTTGAAATTGTATATGTTTTACGCCCCCACCTGACACATTTTAGGTAGTCCAGGGGATGGACTACTCTGACCCTGTCTTTCATGTCCAACCTAAGCTGAAAACTCCAACAGAAAGACAGAGATGCTCGACTAAAATTCTCCCCACACGGGTATCGAACTCACATCTTCTGTGTGCGACGGTGAAGCGCCTAACCTGTACACCACGTGACCACAGACACCATTTACTGAGTCTCTTGTTTGATAAGAGTTTTACGACGCTCGTGGCTACATAAGGTCATAATATGAGCACTCAATGAGTCTCTGTCTGTCTACTAATAGCGTAAAAATAAATAAAAACCATGGAGATGATGATAGTAAACATTAATCTGTCTGCTTAATATACTGAACACCAAAAGTAACGCAAGAAAGCAACAAAAGAAACGCAAATGGGTTTCTGGAGTAGAAAAAGTGATTTTAAAAAAAAATGTTTAACAGTTGTGTGATTTTTTAGATGTTTTACGTTCGAAAATGTGATCTTCATTGAGCATGGACGGACATATTCGATAGGTATTTTTTTTTATTGACTCACTAATGTCGCAGTAATCTTAGACACTGGGATGCACAACACGCATAGTCCACTTGGCCCAGTTCAATATCGTGTATGCCCTCCTTGGGCATCAACAACAGCTCGACACCTTCTGGGCACAGAGTGCATCAGTCTGTTCACGGTAGCCGGCTGGATGTTGCCCCACGCTTGTTGAATGTTCTGCTCCAGTTGTGCCGCAGTGGCTGGCCTTGGCTAAATGTTGTTTTGTTGTCTCTGGAGATGGTCCCAAAAGTGTTTGATTGGTCAAGGCTGGGTGCTGGCCATGGGATGACACTAATGCTGTTCTGCGGAAGAAATGTCACAGTTGCCTGTGCAGTGTGCGGGCGCGCGTTGTCGTGCTGGAACACCAAGTAGTGGTGTTGCTGGACGTAGGGGGGGACCGCTGGCCTAAGCACCATGCTGATGTACGTTGGGCATTGATTCCATTTCTACGCCCGCGTCCAAATTTTCGGAAGACGACAGGGCCGACCAGGTGATTCAGTCCAATGGCAGCCCAGATCATGATACTAGGGCTACCCCAGGCGTCGGCTTCCATCATGTTGAGGTCTGCGTAGCGTTCACCGTTCCTCCTCCAGATTCTGATTCTTCCATTCCCGTTGCTGATGCAGAATCGACTCTCGTCAGAGAAGAGAATGTTTTTCCATTGCCTCCATGTCCAATGAAGCCGATGCTGGGCCCAGGCTAACCTTTGTTGTCTGTGGCGGATAGTGAGGACTGGGCCGAGCGCAGGACGACGGCACCGGAGTCCTCGGGTCTGAAGTCGTCACCACCTGGTCATGCCGGATATCGGCCGTCCGTGGCTTCCAATTGTCCCCCTTGCTGTTTCGGCTGCAGGCAAAAAGCTGTCTCGGTGATGACGGCGCGTAATCAGTCGATCTTGGCGTGCGGATGTGACCCGTGGTCTTCTGCTTCCTGCCATGTCTTGGGTGCTTCCAGTTGTTTGAAAATGTGTCCACAGTATACAAACAGTTGAAAGGGACACATGAAATGCGATAGCGACGTCAGTACGGCTGTCCCCAACTTGTAAACGTCCAATGGCTCTCTCTCTCTCGATCTGCAGCGCTCAGTCGTGGCATTGTCTTGGCGGTCAACTGCTTCACTTGTACACCCTGATATGCCATGAGCACTACTCACACAAAAAAATCACTCACCTCTTTTTTCAATCACGCAGGGTTAAAAGCACAAACTTTTCATTGACCGACTCTCGTGCGCTTAAGGTGAGTTCTTTTTACTCAGCACTCGCAGAATACACTCAGGAGACCTAAACACCTCAGGGGCGTGTACTAATTTTTATCTGAAAAATATTTTAAAATATATTTTAGGGTGAAAATCAACCAACCAAATGAACTGCGGTTTTTTTTTGGTGTTCAGTATGTTATGTTGATGTGTGAACGACCAGGGGGAGGGGGAGAGGGAGGGGCGGTACGTTGTCCGTCTACTTTAAGAAGTGAAATTAAGACAATTTTAGACTTGGAGAATACGTAAGAAATGTTGTTTGTTTAATTGGGTTATATTATTGATTGATTGGCTGATTGATTGATTGATTGATTGATTGATTGATTGATTGATTTGGCTGTTTTTTTCATGAAAATAAGAGGCATGTGTGGGATAAACTAGTGTGATTAGTAGTAACAATGAGATGAATAAGTAATTAAATCAGAAATTATGATTAATAGTGGTAAAAGTTGAGGTTTTAAAAGTTCTTATCTTCTTTTTTCTTTTTTCTTTGCTACCGAAGTTCAAAGAACTAAAGGATGCCAGTAAGTTTCACCGAAGGTGGTGTGGAAAAGAGTATGGCGTTAATAACAGTGTAAAGACGTTGCTACCGTACTTTTAAAAATAATATTATGATATGATTTCTTTGTTTAGATTGCAGTCGATGCTTTGGTCCAAAAGAAATTCTCTGACGGAAATTAGAAGTGTGCTTTTCGCCGATGAATTGGGAGAACCGTTGACCGAATTTTCTGAATTCTTCAACGATGAGGAGAAACACAGCCCCTTGGAACCTTTGACGACGACGAAAGCTCTTCCACCGATCCTCAAACGGAGAACGGGGAGCTCCGACACAGATTATTATTTCTTTTTCGACAAGGGTCCTGCATCCCAAGTCCCCAAAACAGCTCCAAGCACCATTGCCGACAGCCACCCTGGCGGCAGTCCGGTAGTCAGTGGTCAGGGTCAAGGTCAGGGCCAGGGTCAGGTTAATAACGATGAGGTAATTGGACAATCCTCTTTTCCGGGTGAGGATACAGAGCAGAATGTTGACAATTTCCCAAGGGACACGCCTTTGCCTGAGACCGCTCAGTCAGTCGACAGTTTCACTACGGGCACGCCATGGCTTGACACGGAAGAAGAAAACACCGGAGGGGAGGCCGAAGGGTCAGAGGAAGGTGTGGGCAGCCTAATGAGCACCACAGACGAAGGGGGAAATTTCCATCCCCATGTCGAAGATTCGGCATCGAGCCCTGGATATACACAGGAAGAGGAAGAATTTTGGCAGGATGAGGGTTCAGAATTAAAAGAGAATAAAGAGGATAATAAGCTAGTTCCCCCAACCGTTGAGGATGGTCTTGAAGTAACTTCCAGTGAGAGTACAGATTTTTCGTACCCACACGCATACCAAAGTGAAATGTACAGTCCAGACTCAGACGAAAATCAAAACAGGAGAAGCTTCAGTTCTTATCACCGTTTGACTCCTTTCTCACGGGCAGGCCCCAAAAGTGCTACTCGAAGAGAAGTTTGTAAGAACACTTATGACTCTATCACCAAAGATAACCATTTCAAGGGTGTAGGCCCAACGAATCGTTCACAAGATTTGAATGCAATGCGAGAATCTGATAAAGGTCCTGAAAACAATTCGAACTCCAACGTCGAAATTCAGGGGAGGCCAGGGGCTAAAAAGCGCATGCACAACAACCGTGGTGAGCATCGTAATCCGGTGTGTGATAGTTGTGTCTGTAGCACTGAAGACTTCCATCGGCACGAAAGAGGGAAGTCCTGTTCGCAAAAGAGTGAAAGAAGGAAGTCTAAAAGAAATAAAGATACGCCTGCTGGCGCTTGGGAATTGGAAGCCTATTTGCAGACATGTCCCAAACAGACTGACACCAAAAAAGAAATCGATGCTCTGCAATTGTGGCAAAGCAGTCTCCTGGAATCAAAAGAGTCTGTATTATTGGGTGGAAACATTCTGCTGCCGATACGGAAGCAAAAGATGTGTTTATCCCACGAAAAAACAAAACATGAAGACATACATGAAGTGACACCTTAATTTGCACCGAGCAATATCGTGGCTATAAACGCAAGCGATCACACGTCAGACCAGTGACAGGATCTTCTCACCTGCTTAAGAATGAGAAAACGCCTTCATAGTACAAGTACTTTATGAACTCAAACTCACTGTTAGAGAACAACTTCATTAGCATAACGATAAACCCACCCCTGCAATTATATAATAATATAATGTGTATCCGTTCTGTCTTCTTTTGTTTTCTTTGTTTTTTTGTTTTCTTTTTTGTTTGCATGTTTGTTTGTTGTTGTTTTTGTTTGTTCGTGTGTTTGTTTCTTTGTTTCCTTGCTTGTTTGTTTGTTGGTTTGTTTGTTTGCTTGCTTGCTTGCTTGCTTGATCCCTCGTTGGTTTGTTTGTTTGTTTGTTTGTTTTTCCTCTGTTTAACTTTCATTGTTGGTCATGTGGAAGGGGTTCCTGCTTCAGCACTCTGGGCGACGAGGAAAGATGGAAATAATAATGTGGTTTGATCCTACTCGAATTCGAACTTTGGACTTCTGCATACCAGACCAGTTTCGTAACCGATTGCACTGCAGCACCTGGTGCCTCAACATGCGCAGCTCGCCGTTTCAGTACACAGTTACGTAAATACTTACTCCTTTATGTGGGTTTTTTTTCGGTATTCCTGCTGTTTTGTTTGGTTTATTTGTCGCCTTTTTTTTTTAGTTTGAAAAAGGGAAAATTTTAAGACCTTTAAACAGCTTCTATGCCTTTGTTCAACTGAAACCAAGTCGACTCAATAGAACGAAAAGATCTACATTATAAGAAGACGATGGACTATAGATTGATAAAGACATTTATTGATATAGTGAAGCCAAGTTAGAATGGAATTTTTACTCCTCATAGTTCTCTAAAAATAGACTCTTGTCAACTTCTCGGATTCTATTGTTCTTTCAATATTATGGTAATGGTAGTGACACTGAAACGATGTACGGTCATTAAACGAACTTCCTGGCTTTCTTTGCTGCATGTGTTCATAACATGGTATACGTGGTATGTTCCGTACACGTATCAATTGTGACTTTTTCGAGTTTATTAAGTTTCCTTCTGCATTGTACTTTAATAAAAATAATTATTATATGTTTGCTATATACATGTATAATAATATAATACATCTACGTTTTCATGTATCTATTTTTTTAACCCTCCGGCCTCGATCTGTTTCTTGACATATTATCAAGTGTGTTTTTACGTGTATGTGTGTGTGCATGTGTGTGTGGGGGGGGGGGGGGCGTCACACGATGCTATTTTTGGAAGCTAAAGTTGTGCTGTACATTAAGTCACACTGGAAAAAGGAAAAAAATCAACAATATCAGTCAGGACATTTTTATTTTACCGAACTTGTTTTCACAGTCCGACAGGAATAGGCTATCTTATCACATCCGCTTTTAAGAGAATGTCCAGCCGTAAGTTACTGTACTGTTAATTTCTCCGATCTGACGACTTTTTAGAGATCTTTTTGTTTTCCCATCGACATCGAGTCTATTTTTTTACAATTTACTCTTCTTTTATTTTTTCTTGTTCTTCATTTAGGTGCTCCAGGCAAGAGGTGGTTTCTCCATTGTTGGCTAATTTTGAGCTGGTCAGTTTGTCGAGGGATTAAATAAAACTGTCTGTGGTCTGGTCCTGATAGTTGTTGGAGATTTCGTGAAAAACCTTTATTCTCAAAGGTGCTCGGCTATTATGTGTCTGGGTTAGCAGTCATCAAACTCAGAGGTTGTTCCGTACCTGTAAGAATCTGTGTATCTTGGATAGTCATCAGAGGTTATTCCGTACCTGTAAGAATCTGTGTATCTTGGATAGTCATCAGAGGTTGTTCCATATCTGTAAGAATCTGTGTATCTGTTATAGTTAGGGGCTGTTCCGTATCTGTAAGAATCTGTGTATCTTGGATAGTCACCAGACGTTGTTCCATATCTGTAAGAATCTGTGTATCTGTTATAGTTAGGGGCTGTTCCGTATCTGTAAGAATCCGTGTCTCTGTTATAGTTAGGGGTTGTTCTGTATCTGTAAGAATCTGTGTATCTTGGATAGTAGCTAGATGTTGTTCCATATCTGTAAGAATCTGTGTATCTGTTGTAATTATCAGAGGTAGTTCCATATTTGTAAGAATCTGTGTATCTGTTGTAGCTAGGGGTTGTTCCGTATCTGTAAGAATCTGTGTATCTTGGATAGTAGCTAGATGTTGCTCCATATCTGTAAGAATTGGTGTATCTTGGACTGTAATACGGAGAACGAGAGGTGTAAACGTCATCATAAGAAGATGGGTTCGTTTCATACCGATAAGAATCAGTCGTACCTCTGCTATATGAGGAAGGAGTAGTTCCAGATCTGTAAGAGTCAGAAGTTTGGTATCCATTATAAGAATCAGTTGTACCCCTGTTATATGAGGAAGAAGTTAGATCTTCATAAGAACTACTAGTGGTGTCTCTGCCATAGTCAGAGGAGCTAGCTTTGTACTCATAAGAGTCTGTGCTTTGGGGATTGTAGTCCGTGGTGGTCATCATGTCATTATAGTCCCTGGCGGTGGTCCCGCTGGCGTATGAGTCTGTGGTCTGTACGTTGACGTCACTGTAGGAGTCGGTGGTGACCCAGGGTTGGTCTGTGCTAGCCCCAGGCTGGGCTGTGGTTTGGCCAAACTCTTCATAAGGATAGGAGGTTGACCGCGCTGAAAATAGTATATAGATGTGTAAGTGCTGGGTCACTACATTGTTACCACCAGTTTATATGGTAGGGTCCTATGGAAATAGGCCTCTTTGGGATGTTGTTTTATTTATCTATTTTGTATGTAATATATTTTACATTTATGTA